AAGAAAATTTCGATGTTTTCTTACGGCGATGTTCAGCTTGTTGATGATGTTTGTGTCGACATTTTGCGTTTGACAACTCGCATTCGACATTATGCGATGTAGACATTTGTGCTTGTCAACCTCTCTCTTGTCGGCATTTTGCTGTCGACATTTTGATTTTTGATAGTCGACGTTTTATTGCCGGCATTTTGATAGTCAACGTTTTATTGCAGACATTTCGACATCGCATCATATGATTCAATAAGAAGAAAAGTAGTACGCGATTGATAAGAGGTAAGTATAAAAATACAACGAAATAATGTGAATAATCACTGAAATATTGACAAAATGCTCTTGGTTTTGTTTATCGTAGTACACTGTATATCATTATGGCAAGCACAGGGATTATCTTGTCTTTTTCCAACTTCGCCTAAACAACTGCGCGTGGCGTTACGAGGAGCAAATGGTGTGACTATTTCTTGGAGAACTAGTGGATATTTTGGCTTAAATGATACACCATATCCACAAGTGACATATGCTACCAGCAGTACATTACTTAACGCCATTTATGCTCCTATTGGAACATCTTCGAGCTATGATCACACATCATTTTTTCACAATGTTGCTTTACTCAATCTGTCCTCCTCAACAAAATATTACTATCAAATTGTGGCTTCTTCTTCATGTGTGCTGCAATCCAGTATACAATCTTTTACCACAGCACCGGCTCCCAGTAGCTTAACGCCTGTCAATATTTCACTCGTTGGCGATTTGGGAAATGATAATTTAGTAAATGGAGGAGGAGCTTCACGTACAATAAATGCTTTATTCCAAGCAGTCCAAAACACAAACTTCTTTATTCATTCTGGTGACATCTCCTATGCTGATGATTACGGTCTTTTTGTTCCATTTAGCTTTTATGAAGACACATGGAATACATGGCAAAATAAAATGACAGGAGTGACAGCAAACAATATATATATGACAGCACCAGGAAATCATGAAGTGACCTGCTTTCAAGAAGGCGATGCGTTTTGTCTCACAACCCCTTACAGAAAATTTTCCTCCTATTTAAATCGTTTTCGTATGCCGGGTGATGAAAGTGGTGGTTACAAGAATATGTGGTATAGTTTCGATTATGGAATTGTACATGTTGTGATTATCAACACTGAAACAGATTTTCTAAATGCACCCTCAGGCCCAGGTACTACTTTGAACGGTGGAAATTTTCAAGGACTCACGCAACAACAAGCTTGGTTAGAAAGCGATCTACAAGCAGCCAATGCCAATCGTGCTCAAGTTCCATGGATTCTTGTTACTGGTCATCGTCCGTTTTACGGCAGTTTACCCCAGCTTCCGGCAGTTCCAGGTAACTGTGATGCGTGTAGCACTGCTTTTGAACCACTTATTGTGAAATACAATGTTGATTTTTACTTTTGTGGACATGTTCATTGGTATGAACGTCTTTATCCGATCGATGCAAATGGAAATCCTTTGGCTACGAACTACAACAATCAGTCCGGTCCTATTCATGTAACAAACGGAGCTGGTGGAGCTCCAGAAGGCAAGGCTAGTGTTAAAAAGACTATTAGTGCTTCGGCGAAGATTGTAAGTGCCTATGGCTATACACGATTGGAATTAAAAAATGCATCAAATGCTCGATTAAGCTTTATCGATTCAAGTACTCTGCAAGAAGCTGATTCGGTGGATATCGTTCGTTATCATTAATGAAACATATTGAAAGTTTTTTTCATTCATTTCAAAATAAAGATGAATTTAGTTAGCAATTATCGTTAGTGAAAGAAAAATAAACTTCGTCTGAATTATTAAAGAATAAATCATCAGCATATTGTTTATAAATAGAGAAATATTTCTGATATTTTTTCTGATAGATTAATTGATTAAATACTGATGATCAAGCGAATTTGTTTCTCTGCTAGGTAAAACAACAATGTTGAACACAATTTTATGTGACGAATGAAATAAGTTTTTCTTTGCTCTCTTTCTTTTAGGTCTATGAAATACTGCTTCGACAAACGGTAGATCTCTCTGCTGTTCACTGCCTATCGTCACTGCAAGGTATTTTTTCGTCGCAGTTGATTATTTACCTCTTCAAATGAATTACTGAGCAGCACTCGAAGCGTTTTCATTTCTTCTGCTAAACTGGTATGTATATAGACACACTTTATCAAGAGGTAAATGGTCCTGTGAAATCAAGCACATGTTACGATGACGATACAAAGCGAACTGCCGCGGACTTTGCAGTTTGACAGAGTAATGTTTTCTTTAACAGGAGAGAGAATTTTCAATACAAAGATAAAATGCTCTAACTATACCAATGTGGTCCGTTCTCACAGTGAGTTTACTCGGAGGGTGAACAAGTTTTCATATAAGGAATCTTAATGTTATCTATATTTTTATCTATGACTGATCACAATCGCATTCGAAATAATTTTCGATTTTTACAAATGCTTCTTTCTGATTTTTGATCAGTTGATAGCCTCTAGTATCTACCTGGCTTTTTTTCTATTCCTGATTTTATGGCAAATGTACTTTTCGTGCTTTATGTATGGGTGGGCAGGTGTAGGCATGTATCAATACCAAACCCAAAACAGTTGGGTTTTGGATATAGAGTGCTGTATTTTATCTTCGAGATTTGAGATTTGAGTCTACTAGTTGAGTAGTATCCTGATAATTGTAGAAAAGGAATTTAATTTTCTTACCAATCTTCGCATAATATAACTAGGGAAGAGACTGTATCATTATGCTGGAATTACTGTTAAGATAACATGGAGATATCGTGAAACGGAAGCGCATATCGATAGAAAAATATTTTCTCTACATGATTTGCACCAAAAATATTTTGTATCTTCACAAATAAAAAAAGATTTGAGCTGTGTAAGACAAAACACATATTTTTGTGCCAATTTATCCCACTTGACGTTTAGTTATGATTGTTCTCAATTGATATTGATAATTAATTGTAGATTTGTTTGATGTGAAATTTGTGTAGATAAAAATAAACAATTTATAATCTAGGACGAACTGCTGACATTCACAAATCATTGTAATTTTCTGCATTACTTATATCATTTTCAAATACAATTCATCTCTCTGATTAATTGAATTTCGATAAACGATCGATTGCTGAAAGCAAGAGTTAAGATCAGCAGATTGATTTTAAACATAGATTGAACTGTTTCTCGATTGATTCACTCCCAAGAATGGAAATTTGGTTTGTCGTATTTCTTTTCTGGTGAAATATCCGTACTCAATTCACTTTCGTGCATAGATAAATATATCCATGATGTCTTGAATGAGTCAGAAAATGGGCACATGTGTAAGCATTGATATATTTACTTTTGATTTATCATATCACCTCGTATGCATTGATCATAAATAGTCATCGTTGCCTTCTGTTTCTGTGTCATTTACATGAATCATGTCATACCTTCATCTATGATGCAGAATGAAGATAACAGGTAAGGCGCAGGACAGCGCTGATTAAAGAAGACTTCATAGTGTCTTTTTGTTGATGATATTCATCATTAAGTCATTTTTGTATTTTTGATTCAGTTCTAGAATAAATGTCGGCAATTAACGAGAAGAATGACAAAAAATCAACGACAATAGAACAGTTCGATGATGATTGGAAATTTCTACTTGTCACCAAAGGTTCTTTCGATGAAGATGTTCTCTCGATTGATTATGATGATCAACATTGGAAAACTATTGAATTACCTCATCATGATCAAAGTAAAAATGATTCAAGTATCTTCTATTATCGAAAACGATTTGATTGGATCTATGCATTCGATCTTCAAAAACACATGTATTTACATTTCACTACGACTGAAAGTGGTGAGTCATTAGAGAATACAATTGAAATTCCCGGCATCATTATTTGGTGTAATCAACGACGTATTTTTGAAGGAATCTTAGGAAATCAATCGATCGATATCACCAATGATGTACAAATCAATGCAGAGAATATTCTTATTCTTTGTTCGACTGAAGGATATTCTCTTTCTCTCTATGCTCGTCTCATTATTCCATGTCTTCGCACGGTTCATATCAATGCGAATGAATTGGAGTTAACGAATGCCAAACCGCATCAGTATAGATCATTAGATTATACTGCTAGTTTCAACGAGATCAGTGGATTGATTGATGTAACGATTGATTGTTATGATACAATAGATTATGATGAATTCCCACAATCCGAAGAAATAGAGTTCGAGTGTATATCCAACGATGATATCGTCAGAGCGAAAAAAGCTCTGGAAATGGGTCCTATTCCACGTTTAGCTATTGTTATGTTGATTGTGGGTACACGTGGCGATGTTCAACCTTTTATTGCATTAGCCAAAGCTCTTCTTCGATATGGACATCGAGTACGTTTAGCTACACATGAAACATTTCGAAGTTTTGTTCGTGAACATGGTTTGGAATTCTATCCATTAGCAGGAAATCCTGCTGATTTAATGTCATTTATGGTGAAGAATGCTGGTATTATTCCATCAGTCAGTAGTATCATAGCGGGTGATATCAGTAAAAATCGTCGTATTATTAGTGAAATTCTTCAATCAACATGGAAAGCATGCACTGATGTGGATGATGAAACCAAAGTTCCTTTTGTCGCTGAAGCTATTATTGCTAATCCACCATCGTATGGTCATATTCATTGTGCACAAAAATTACAAATTCCTCTGCATATAATGTTTACTATGCCATGGTCACCGACCAACGCATTTCCACATCCATTATGTCGAATCAGTAGTAATTACGGACCTATTGAATTGATCAATCGTTTATCGTACACAGCAATGGAAACTTTGGTAAGTAACGATATTTCTCATCATTGTCTCGATTGAATTTGAAATTATAGATGTGGTCAGGGATGGGAGATTTAATTAATGAATTTCGTGAAGAAACTCTTCATCTTCCAGGTCTTCATAATCGACAAGCCATTCGTATGATGATCGATGAACATGTTCCACATACTTATTGTTGGTCACCTTCACTTGTACCAAAACCATCGGATTGGCCGGATTATCTCGATGTTTGTGGCTTCTTTTTTCTTGATCTTGCAACAAATTATCAACCATCAGAAGATCTTCTTCATTTTCTACATGCAGGTGATCGACCCATCTATATTGGTTTTGGCTCCATTACTGGTCATGACTCCAGTCGTTTGTTAAAGATTGTGTTAGACGCTTTGAAGGTGACTGGATATCGAGCTCTTCTCTCAGGTTTAGCAAATGTGAACGATTTTTTACCAGAGAATGTCTTCAGAATTGGTAATTGTCCACATGATTGGCTTTTTCAACATGGTAATCGTTGTTCTATTAGTTGGATTCACTGATCTCATTTTTTTTCCTATTATAGTATCTGCTGTTTGTCATCATGGAGGTGCTGGTACAACAGCGGCTGGTCTTCGTGCTGGTAAACCCACTATCATTGTTCCGTTTTTTGGTGATCAATTCTTTTGGGGATCGATGATAAATCAAAGTGGTGCTGGTCCATCACCGATCCCTGGTAAAGATCTCACCAGTCACGATTTGATTGAAGCCTTCAAATTTATTCATCAGAATGATGTTTGTGAAGCAGCTGAACGATTACGTTTAGCATTTGATCATGAAAATGGATGTGAAAGAGCTGTGCAATCGTTTCATTCTCGTTTACCATTACATAAAATGCAAAGTGATCTTCATTCTGCTTTTGGTGCTTGTTTTTATCTCAAAGATTATAGTTTACAAGTCTCTCGACCTGTTGCTCAAGTACTTTTAGCAGCTGAAAAGATCAAAGAGAGTCAATTAACCCTACATTCAACTTATTCTTGGCATCGATTGAAAAATGATGATCGTCTTTCTTTACTTTTTCATAATTTCATGCGACATGAACAGAAAGCACTTCGTGCTTTATTTATCGATACACCGGAAGCGCTAAAACGAGCCAGTAGTCCAAAACATTTTCGGGAAGGAGCCCGTGATAGTGGTGAATATATTATGAAAGGAATTGGTCATGCATCGATTGGCTGTTTGGCATTTTATGGTGATATTACCGATACATTGGAACGTTTACCCAATGTCTATCATTGCTATTCCTATGCTGAACAACATGAACGGCCACAAGTGAATAATCTTCAGTCAGGAATGAAAGCAGCTGGACATTCGTTGTGGTTTGGATTTAGGGATGGAATTACAGGATTAGTAAAGAATCCTCAAGTTGGTTATCAACATGATGGAATTCGTGGTGTAGCAACTGGTACAGCGTTGGCCATTCCAAATTTAGTTTTAAAACCTATTGCTGGCACCTTAGCATCAATAACGTGGCTCAGTCGAGGTGTCTATGCCGAAGCGATACAGTTATCAGAACAGAAGAAAAACAAACGAGATATTCAATTGAAATTGAATTCTTCCGATGAACTTCGTCGATCGATGATCGATTTAACCGATGCGACATCACCTGAAGCTCGCGCTTCATCCGAATCAGGTTTAACCATCGATATATGTCGAACTATCTTAGGAGCATTCGAAGGAATCCAAACTGAACGTAATAAGATGAACAAATCATCGAAAGAAACTATATCTCGTAAGCGAGTCGAGCGACAACGTAGTCATTCAACGACAGCTCTTTAATACGAAATTTGTGTTTTGCGGATTGATCGTAAATAAAAATTTATTCTTGACTAAATCAATAGTAAATGCTCATGTTTTTGTAGAAATATGAATTTCTCAATTGCTGTTCTACTGATCGGTACGATTGTCAATAGTTTTGTACAAGATGGTCTGTATCTATATTATTGGTGAATTCATCCTTTTCAAATCTGATTGAACTTCTGTCGAGCTGATCATGAATATCATGTTTTCACAATATTCCACCAATTAACTTGAGATCATATATGCTACTAATGTAAATATGTAGCAGCATACTAAGTTTGATAATTAACATCCAAGCAGAGTGCTTTTACTATTTACTTATTATTATTTTCCTTCAAATTAAAAGAGCCGTGGCTATCTTCTGAATAACGTTTGAACGAAAAGGGATATCGAGCTGCGGTTTTCAGTTTTGAATAGCCAAGATCTGTACACATCTTTCTATCAGCAAGAATAAATCTTGAAAAAAATTCAAAGATCGGATTCTGAGCAGATCTTTGGAAAATCCTCTTCCTTGTCTTATGACGGTTTGTCTATTATAATCTGAATGTCAATTATTAAAATAATAAACAAAAGTCAAAAAAATAAACATGAGTGAGAGACTCAATATACGAGTCTGCAACGGCGTCTGCTTCTGCAAGAAACTTTTGATTTTTCTTTATTTCTTTATTTGTTATTATGTATTGATGATGATGATGGTGGAAGTTTTCTTTTTTTTTTGCTGCTAAATTTAAACTAAGGGGGCTTACCTTACCTCGATCCCCAATTTTTTTCCGGTCATTTTGTAGAGAATTTAAAACTGCATCTACCCTCCAATTTTTTCTGAGTTCGGCCGGGTTTTGACGGAGATACAGCCTTCACAATCCATGTGGCCCACATAGACCCCC